GTTTCACTGGGTCCCTGACTTCTAAGTAGACTTTGAGAAACACATAATTACGAATCTTGGTAAACAGTTCACTCACTCCATGTATCACAGAGTATTACTTTTGTGGACTGAAAGCACCCTCTGATGTACACAGCTTGCAATTTACTTGTAAGAAGCTTCTTACTGAAGCCTTATTAAATACTTGAGTCCATCAACAGCAGAGGGTGTATCTCTTCCCTTCACTGAGAGAACATGAAACTGACCTTTAAGACAGTTCCTTGGGGCTTCCCTGTTCGCACAGTGGTTAAGAATCCACCTGCCAATGCAGGGGACACAGGTTCGATCCCTGGGCCAGGAAGATTCCACATGCCATGGAGCAACTAAGCCTGTGCACCACAACTACTGAGCCTGCACTCTAGAGACCGAGAGCCACAACTACTGAGCCCACATGCAACAACTACCGAAGCCCACGCTCCTAGAGCCCGCGCACTGCTATTAGAGAAAGCCCGCACATAGCAACAGACTCAGCACAGCCAAAAATAAATTAATTAGTTAAAAAAACGTAAGTTTCCTTAACACAAGTTTTGTGAACATTTCAGTGCACATATCACATAAGTAGTATCATTTTCATTCACTGAAACAAGGTTGTGCTGACCACAATCTGAAAACACTTGTGAGAAAATCTTTATCACAGGTCTGCTTATACAATACATTAAATGCACTACAAAGTGGGTATCAATTCCTTTTGGAGAGAAAACAGTGAGCTGAATGCAGCTGGCAAGTATGAGGAATGTCTTCCATGCCTTGTTAAACGTATGCTCACAGAATGGGTATTCACTCCTCCCATACAGGGTGGATATCATTGCCGCTCGTTGAAAGGACACAGCTGTCAGTGCACCTTGAAGATAGACTTAAAAGAAACATCTTATTAGAATTCTTGGTAGGCCCATCACTACATGCACTTCGGAAGACGTATCATTCTCGTGCTCTGCAAGAACTCTGTAGTCAATGCCATTCACAAGGAGTTGGTAAGAAACATTTTATTACATGTCTTGTTAAATACTTTACTATATGGACGCTGAATAGTATCCTTTCCATTGACTTAAAGCACCCTTTGCTGTATGCATTTTGCAACTTGCTTATAAGAAACTTCTCTAGTGAGGTTTTATTAAGCACTGGACTGCATGAACAACAGAAAGCATATCTCATCCATTCACTGAGAGAACACTCTGCTGAATCCAGGCTGTAACTGGCCTGTGAGAAGTTTCCTTAACACAAGTTCAGTGAATCACATGTCCAGTACATGTATCGTAGATGAGTGTCATTTCCATTCACTGAAACGATGCTGTGCAAAACACAATTTATAAGTACCTGTCAGAAAAACCTTTATTGCAGGTTTGCTTATACACTAAAATAAATGCATTCCACGAGTGTCAGTTCATTGCACAGAAAGAACGCTAGGCTGAACACAGCTTGCAAGTAGCTTATAAGAAATGTCTTTAATACCTTATTAAACACATCAGTACATGCTCACAGAATGGGTTTTCATGACCTGCCTTACAGGATGGTTATCATTTCCACTCACAGAACCCTCTTGTAAATGCACTTTGAAAGAGGCCTTGAAGAAACACCTTATTATAAGTCTCGTGAAGCACATCACTCCATGCATGACAGAAGAGGTATCACCTCCCTGCACTGGAAGAATTCTGTGTTCAATGCCATTTGCCAGGAGTTTGTAAGAAACATTTCCTTACACGTCTTGTTAAACGCTTCACAACATACATTACAGAATAGTATCACTTCCATTCACTGAAAGCATACTTTGCTGTACCCAGCTTGCAATTTGCTTGTAACAAACTTCTTTAAAGAAGGCTTACTAAACACTTCACTGAGAGAACACTGCCTAACGCAGATTGTAACTGGCTTCTAAGAAGTTTTCTTAACACAAGTAATTTAAATTTTCTTAACATTTCAGTACACATATCATAAATGAGTATCATTTCTCGTCATTGAAACAGTGCTGTGCTGAACACAGCTTGCAAGTAACTGGCATGAGACTTTGTTTTTTACAAGCCTACACTTGTAAAAATGCTACACTATATGCATTACCCAAGGGTGATGAGATTCCAATCACTGAAAGATAATTGTGCTTCATACAGCTTGCAAGTAGACAGTGGTAACAACACCAACAAATCACAGGCCTTACATTGTATCATTAGCACTAAAGCCCTAATGCCAAACCTAAGTGCATTTTCAACCCTCATCAGAAATGTATACTTAATCAACTAGTCTGGAATATTCTGGTCAGCACCAGTGAGGCGAGCTGCCAGGTAGGTCCTCTCCAGCCCTTAGAGGAGGAAGAAACAATCTGCATGATGAAACACCTGCCCTGCCCTTCTGCCTGAAGAAGTTATCCTGCCCTTAAAAATAATCTTTTCTTTTCTTTTGCTAATCGCTTCCTTGTCTCACCCTTGTTTACGTAAATTTTTTTCATTTTGTACAACCGCTGGGAGCACTCTTTTAGATTCTACATGGGATGCTGGCCAGTTCATGTATCACCTAACAAAGCCAAATACATCTTCAAATGTACTCGGTTGGATTTTGCTTTCTAACAGATTCGTGACAGTGACAATCTCCGAAGTGGTTTTCTGACCACACTCAGAGACAAGGAGTAACACAGGCATCATCATGCCCCACAAGCCTTGTTCGGAGTTCACTGTCTTTCTTGCCATTTCGAGAGCCCTTGGCAAGTTCTTGGTTGAGTTCTGCTGTATTTGTGTTTGAGCTCCCGATCTAATTGGCTTTAGACCACAGTTCCCAGGGGAAAACCCCAGCCCTGAGCACAGTCCCTGGATTCCATACTGAGCACTGGTAACCGTTTTGTCTGCATTTCCCCATTTGTCTGGAATCCTTCCCTGAATTCCACCTTAGGAACCGTGGTGACATCTGCAGTGTTCCATTCACGTGGAATCAGCCTGCAGCCCCTTTCTCTGAGGTCTGCTGGTCAATCCTTACCCTCAGCCCACAGTTCCATGGGAATTATTGGTGGTTATGGATGGAGATGGACTGGGTCCAAGATCAAATTGGGTCCAATATGAGCTAGGCTGGGTCAAGTAGGAGGCCTTGGGTGGATATTAAGTAAAGGCTAGTTGCTCATGGAGATCTTGGATATACTGGAAGCTGATTGGTTTGGCTCCAAGAAACCCAAAAGCCTGGCTGAAAGAAGTGGAATCCTTTATGTCTGAAGAGTTGAGCGTGCCATTTCCCAGCATACCTGGTTACCTTATGTTTAACAACTATACTCTCGAAAGTTCCAAATATCTAACAAAATAGCGAGATTTTACTAAAAACAACCTAGAATTACAATGACAATTATGGGAAATGTGACCGTTCATTTAAGAAGTGCACTTGAGAAAAAAGGAATCCCAAAGCGTAGAGACAGAAAGGATGCCTACTTCAATTGGTATGCAGAAGCTTACAAAAGGCTTCATGATTCCAAAATAGCTTCGTTAAATGACTCATTACAAAAGTCTAATGTAAAATTAAAGACACAATATGTACCTAAAACAAAATACGAGGGACTGACGTGAACCCTACTGCTCCCCCCTTTCCATCTTCACCCGAGTACTCATGTTTTACTAATTCTCTGTCCAAACTGCATTTCTACTCTGAAGGGACTATTACACAGCTATCATTTACAACAAAACCACTGGAGGCTGCAGACTAACTGCTTCAGGTATTTTCACACCTTGGTCAAAGAGTGAACTAAGGGCTGTGGGTAAAGCATTTCATAAACTAGGGAGGAACCTACCTTTTTATTCCACCATATGCAGGCTCTGTCTTGATTTGTATAAACATACATCAGTTTGTCCAGTTCTTGAAATTCATAAAAATGATGCAAATCAAAATGTACACATTTATGTCTGACACTTTTACTTAATGTTTTTGAGTGCCATCCAATATTTGGTGTGGATAAGCAGTTCAATCTGTCTTTATGGCTAAGTAATTGACATTGTAAGAATATATAAAAAAATCATACCCCTCAAGATTGAGGGGTGAAATATCTCAAGGGGGGGATCTTTTAAGCAGATAGGGTAGGGTGTCCCCAGAGAAAGAAAACCAGTCATGACTTTCTTGACAGAAGAGCAGCCAGTTTTGGCCTAAACCATTCTGTGATCTTAGCCTGGCCACAGTGCTTGCCATTGAACAGGGCTCAGTAATTAATATCTTAAGGGAACAAGAGAATGTAGAAACAAATGACTATTAATCAGGCAAGCAAAATAACAATAGCAAAGATAATATATCAGTTGTAAAGACTCCCAGTTCTCTTTTGATGTAAAGATTATCCCAAAGTGCTCAACCACCAGGTCAGCTGGAACCTAATGGATCACATTGACCTTTGCTGACCCTCCTGACCCTCCTGACTTCAAGCAACTGAAGCTTGGACGCTGTAGACTGCACAAGCCCCTTCATGAATATGCATGTATCCTTGGTTTAAAACTTCCACAATTTTCCTCTTCAGGGAGACACTGCTTTGGGAAAGATCCCCGATGTTCTCCTCACTTGCTGCAAGTAAAAAATCCTTCATTCTCCCCATCTTTGGCTCAGTTGTCTTTTGGCTTTGGCACCCACCAAGAGGGGAACCCAGTTTTCAGGTGACAGTTCTAATAGGTGAACAGTGATATATCATTGCTGTATTCATTTGTAATTACTGATGGTATATGATGTTGAGTATATTTGTGTGTACTATCTGTATATCTTTTTTGGCCAGGTGTCTGTTTAGTTCTTTCCCTAATTTTAATGGGGTTGCTGGTGTTAGAGGTCTTTGTATATTTGAGGCAAATCCTTTAATGGATATGCGTTTGCAAATATTTTTCTCCCAGTTTGTGACTTGTCTTTTGATTTCCTGAATAAGGTCTTTCAGAGAGTAGAAATCTTTATTTTATAAAGTTCACAATATTACCTATTTTTCTTTCTGGACTGCCCTTTTTTGTGTTGTGTGTTAAAACTCAGTGCTCGTGGTGCTTGCTTCGGCAGCACATATACTAAAACTGGAACGATACCGAGAAGGTGAGCATGGCCCTACGCAGGGATGACATGCAAATTCCATATTTTTTAAATACTGTAACAAATTCAATAAAGACTTTAAAAATGGTCCACATAAAAAATATTTTAAAAAATTAAGATGTGTGACTGTATTAAAGGAAAACTCAGCGTTCATGATCTACATGACCAAACCCAAGCTCATGTGTTTTTCTTTCTACGCTTTCTCCTATAATTTTGAATCATTTTGCATTTAAAATTTGTCTATGAATAATTTTTTTATTTTTTATTTATTTTTATTTATTTACTTTTATTTATTATTTTTGGCTGCATTGGGTCTTTGTTGCTGTGGGTGGGCTTTCTCTAGTTGTGGCGAGTGGGGCCTTAGTCTTCATTTGTGGTGCACGGGCTTCTCATTGCAGTGGCTTCTCTTGTTGTGGCTCACAGGCTCTAGGTGTGCGGGCTTCAGTAGCTGTGGCACGCGGGCTCAGTAGTTGTGGCTCACGGGCTCTAGAGCGCAGGCTCAGTAGTTGTAGTGCATGGGCTTAGTTGCTCTATGGCATGTGGGATCTTCCCGGACCAGGGCTTGAACCCGTGTTCCCTGCATTGGCAGGCGGATTCTTAACCACTGAGCCACCAGGGAAGTCCCTATGAATAATTTTTGGGTAAATTTGGTGTAAGTTGTAAACTTTGTGTCTTCATGCATGTCACACCAAATGGTTAATTGTTCATTAACTCTTTTTGGAGAAGTTATGGGATACTGTCTCCATTTCAGTTTGAATTTCCACAGGTTAATGGGTTCAGCAGTTCCGCCAGCAGGGGGAGTTGTCGCCGGTGACCCGTGAGGAAGACGCGGCCTGCACTTCCCGCGCTGACCACAGGGTGGCGCTGAGCCGTCTCTGACCCACGGCGCATGCACGTTTCCCGCGGACTCCGCTATGAGCGCAGCTGAGAGGCTTTGTGTCTCAGGCACCGTCAGGGCCGCGGCTGGCACGCCCGGGGTGAGCGTCTCAGCCGACAGGCGCTGGGTCTCCTTAGGACTTGCTGGGGTTTTGGCTTCAGGACAACACTGGGCCGTGTCCACGCTGACGGGAGCTGGGTTTCCTGACAATGACGGCGACGCGGGGAGGAAAGGGTGAGGAGAAGCCTCCTGCCGGCACTGACTGCTGCGGGCTCTCTGTTTACAAGCCTCGTTGCGCTGGCTACCCACACTGCCGCCCCCCATTCAGCGCTGTCGTTAGTCTCATTTCACAGCTTAGATGCTCAGGAACGTGCCCCAGGTCACGTGCTCACTGGGTGTCAGAGCCAGCCCTTTGTGACGCTGGGCCTTGAGGTCTGGACCGCTGTGGTTGCACGGCTGGCGTCCAGAGGATGTGAGCGGGGTGGGGGGGGCAAGGGAGGGCTGAGCCGCATAGGGGACGTGCGGGTGGGGGGCAGGACCTGACGCCGGCTCAGACTCCATGTCTCCCCCCTTCCCCCGGTGGGTGTGTGCCCCCAGAGGTGGGCTGTTGGGGAACTCCCGCCCACTGGACCGCCATGGCATGGGGCTCCTGCACCCCTTGCCAGCCCTGGGGGCACCCGGGGAGCTGAGTGTGGCCCGTCCCCTCTGAGGGTGTCTGGGCCAGAGAGTGGGGCAGAGAGGTGGGGGTAAGGGAGGGACACTGAGGTGCGATGCCTCTGAGGCGGAGGGGAAATGGGTGGAACTGGTGTTGATGGGGTGTCGGGGTGGGGCTGAGAGGAAGGGACGAGCCTGACTGCGATGGTGATGGTGATGCTGCTGATTGAAACGAGGAAGAGAACCCTTTACAGATGCTGGGACCGTATTTTTATATGACACACTTATCAGGTATTATTGATTTGATGGAGTTTTTTTGCTGAAAAGAAAACCACCCAATTCCTTTATATGGTAGGAAGATATAACTTTCCAGAATACATAGAGCAGAAATATTATTATTTCGGTCATAAATTCATATTCCCTTCCTGCCTGTTTCAATGTTACTTTTCCTCCTTTCCCATCATTCCTTTATCCTCTGCTGCTCACTAGGGTAAGAAAACACACTTCTTGCTCTCTGTATGATTGGTTTGGCAGATTCTTTTTTTTTTTTTTGCGGTACGCAGGCCTCTCACTGCTGTGGCCTCTCCCATTGCGGAGCACAGGCTCTGGACGCGCAGGCTCAGCAGCCATGGCTCATGCGCCCAGCCGCTCCGCGGCACATGGGATCTTCCCAGACCAGGGCACGAACCCGTGTCCCCTGCATCGGCAGGCGGACTCTCAACCACTGCACCACCAGGGAAGCCCAGCAGGTTCTTCTTGAATTCCTTGGGCCCCAGGTGGAGGGCCACACTTATTTCTCATCAGGCGCCGCCAGTGTTCGCGGTGGTGGCCACGGGTGTGTGGAGCCTGCTCTGCCCCCGTGGAGCACACTGATGCCCAGCATCATAACAAAGCCGTCGATTCCACACTGGGGAGAAGGATTAAAATGCAGACAGTCTGGTGAGTGGTCATATAAACTTCAGGCCCTTTCCTGGCAGGAGGGGTGGAGGACAAAATCCACTGGGCTGTGGGGAGTGAGGCAGCTGGCCTCCCAGTTCTGCTCGGGGACAGCTCCCCCGGTCAGTTTAGAAACACACGGCTGCCAGCTGGGGAGGCACGACCTTGCCCGCTGACTCTGCCTCGCCCTACGGGTCAGCTCCCGGCTCAGGACCGGCAGATGCAGTACCAAATACCGCTGAGTGCTGGCTGGGACCCGCATCTCCCTCTCACACAGGCCAGCCAGCGCTCTGCTCCGCTCCCCTGCCATGTCTGCAGCTGAGTGTCCCCAGTCTGAGGCCTCCGGCGTGGGTTGGAGGGGAGAGACAGGAGCCTCTGGATGAGGAGAGGGATGACGGGCCTCCCTCCCCGGAGCTGCTGCTGCAGTGTTTTCATTCCTCCTGTTACAGCCTTGAAACCATGCTTGTGCTAAGAACTCTGGGAAGTACGTGACCCTTCCGTTCCTGGTATTTTGATGACCTTTTAGAGACTGCCATCTTTGGAAATATCTTCCTATAAGTTATATGGGATCCCCTGCTCCATGAAACAAAGCCTACTTCGGAAGCACCCCTGCCCTGTGTCCCTGCACAGTTGTCAAGAGGCCCTGCTCCCAGCTTCCCATCATTCTCCTGCCGGATCATCTGTGTCTCACCCCCAGACACTGAGGATGCCTGGCAGGGGCCCTGCCCACACACCACCTGGCCATCCCAGAGGGTCCCAGCCTGGCTCATGTGTGCGTGTAGGTTTCCACCTGGCAGCACAGATCCTGTTGGGGATTCATCTCCCGTTCCCAGCGATGCCTGTCCACACCCTCGGTCTCTTACCTAAGCCAAACTAGGACACGCATGGCTTCACATGTCCACAGCTGAACTCGTTGGCTGGAGAACCTGCCTGTCCTGAGAGCCTATTTAACTTAATGGGCTGAAAGTCAGAGATTTTACATTCCCACTAGAGTGAATAATACTATGGGTGGACTTTTTCTTTTTAATATTGGAATGGATTTAGGGTTAGAAATGAGCATCGGAAAAAGTTATAAACAAATAGTAAACTTGAAAACAATAAAAGTAAACCTCACTGTCTCAGACAATACTCAATTCTGAGCGTGTGTGCCTGTGTGTGTGTGTGTGTGTGTGTGTTTGTGTTTGTGTCAGAGAGATAGAAAGAAGGAGAGGAAGAGAGGAGGTCCTGCTTTTCTCTGTATAGCTTATAAGTGAGGGGACTTCTTGGTAACTATTTAAATCCTAAAAATAAAGAAGGTTTTAAATTAATCTCCACACCAAAAAAGTGTAACATTTTCCCAGTCACATGAAAGAAGAATTTTTGATGGCTGCAGAGCAAATAGTTCATGCTGCAAAATAGGGAATGGGTTGGTTTATTAATTCATTAAACCATTTAATTTATTAATTAAATCTCTAACAGATGCTTATTCAAAGTGCTACTGTTTACCTAATGCAACCCGAAATGGTTTAAATAAGACCCCTTTTGAAATCCTCAGAGCCACTTAATTGCTGTGTGACCATAAGCAAGTTAGAGTACCTACAAGTTGGGGATAATAGTTCCTACCTTAAATAAATTAATATATGTAAAGCACTTACAACGAAGCTTGGCAAAGAGCAGGGTTACGTGCTTTTTTTTATTACTAATTTGAGAAGGAAAAGTTGGTTGCCTTAAGTGGAATGCAGTTGGTTGCAATGTTGTCATTTCACCACAAGAGGGCTGGGATAGAATAGAAAAAGTAGAAAATGCACTTGGTATTAGAAAATGGCAAGAAGTTTCACAGTATCCTTCAGCCGTTTCATGGGATCGGAGAACGGGGCTGTGCTTGGCCTTGGTCATCACGTTATTCATCCTCTCATCCATATCTATAAAGTTATGGCAATTTTTAGCCAGATTTTGGAAAATGATCTCTTACTGGTTCTCCCTCCAAGTAAACTTTTTTTTTAACCCTCTCTTTGTCTCTACAACAAAGATGTTTTTAAGCGTTGCATATTTTTGTGTACAATTTGGAGAACATGCATGTCTCTCCATCATGTGACTTTCTCTGTCTTTCCCTGTATTTCTGTTTTTGCCTAATTCCTCAGTTGATTCTCATTTCACCCCATTATTTTTAAAAAAATTTTATTGAAATACAGTTGATTTACAATGTTGTGCTAGTTTCAGGTATACAGAAAAGTGATTCAATTATACATACACATATATTCATTCTTTTTTAGATTCTTTTTTTATATACATTATCACAGAATATTGAGTAGAGTTCCCTGTGCTATACAATAGGTCCTTGTTGGTTATATATTTTATAAATAGTAGTGTGTGTATGTTACTCCCAAACTGCTGAATTATCCCTCTCCCCACCCCCACATTTCCCCTTTGGTAACCATAAGTTTGTCTTCTACATCTGTAAGTCTGTTTCTGTTCTGTAAATAAGTTCATTTGTATCATTTTAAAACTAGAGTCCACATATAAGTGATATCACATGATATTTGTCTTTGTCTGACTTACTTCACTTAGTATGATAAACTCTTGGTCCACCCATGTTGTTTCAAATGGCATTATT